GGTCGGTGAAGTGGATAGAGAACTGGCTGAATGGCAGAACTCAGAGGGTTGTCATCAGCGGCACTGAGTCTAGTTGGAGGCTGGTAACAAGTGGTGTCCCCCAGGGGTCAGTACTGGGCCCAGTCTTGTTTAACTTCTTCATCAACGACCTGGATGAAGAGTTAGAATGTACCCTCAGCAAGTTTGCTGACGACACCAAACTGGGAGGTGTGGTAGACACCAGAAGGCTGTGCTGCCATTCAGCGTGACCTGGATAGGCTGGAAAGCTGGGCAGAGAGGAACCTGAAGAGGTTCAACAAGGGCAAGTGCAGGGTCCTGCACCTGGGGAGGAACAACCTCATGCACCAGTACAGGCTTGGGGTGGACCTGCTGGAGAGCAGCTCTGCGGAGAGGGACCTGGGTGTCCTGGTGGACGACAGGTTAACCATGAGCCAGCAGTGTGCCCTGGCTGCCAAGAAAGCCAATGGGATCCTGGGGTGCATCAAGAAGAGTGTGGCCAGCAGGACAAGGGAGGTTCTCCTTCCCCTCTACACTACCCTGGTGAGGCCTCATCTGGAGTACTGTGTCCAGTTCTGGGCTCCCCAGTTCAAGAAGGATGAAGAGCTACTGGAGAGAGTCCAGCGGAGGGCTACAAGGATGGTGAGGGGACTGGAGCATCTCCACTACGAGGAGAGGTTGAGGGAACTGGGCTTGTTCAGCCTGAAGAAGAGAAGGCTGCGAGGGGACCTTATAAATGCCTACAAATATCTGAAGGGTGGGTGTCAGGAGGATGGGGCCAAGCTCTTTTCAATGGTGCCCAGTGACAGGACAAGGGGCAATGGGCACAAACTGAGGCACAGGAAGTTCCGTCTGAACATGAGGAGGAACTTCTTCCCTCTGAGGGTGACGGAGCACTGGAACAGGCTGCCCAGGGAGGTTGTGGAGTCTCCTTCTCTGGAGATATTCAAGACCCGCCTGGACAAGGTCCTGTGCAGCCTGCTGTAGGTGACCCTGCTTCGGCGGGGGGGTTGGACTAGATGACCCACAGAGGTCCCTTCCAACCCCTACTATTCTGTGATTCTGTGATTCTGTGATCTCTGAAGCTACTTCAGGCTTTTCTCCCACAGCACAGTCCTCCAAAGAGGGCAAAAGCCAGTCAGTGTTGGAGGCTGCCAGTGCACAAAGACGAAGCTAGAAGGAACCCAAGAGAGGAGAAACTTCTCATCCTCCAAAGCCTTGTCTGCATCCATACTTGCAGATCAGCACCCTGTTCTAGATCTGAGGAGCAGGAAGGTCTTCTAAAATGAAGTGTGAGCCTGTTCCCAACTATGGCTTGTTCATCTAGGCCACGGCTCAGTACAAGACAGAGCAGAAGCACGGGCTGACCACTACCTTGCTACTTCATGTATCACCATTAGTGGATAATAGTGGTAAGCTTACCTTCTGGTAAGCTGTCAACTGTTACCCATGGGGCTGTCAAATATGAAGTTCTTGAGAAGGGGCTAGAATGGTCTTGATTGCAACAGGATGATGTTCTATACATTTAGCCAGTTTCAAAAGTCTCCAGTCAGTAACGGGGTCTCTTGACACCTACCCTCCAGAGGTAAGACTTCCAATTTCTTTTTACAGGGCCTGGTTTTTTTCCCAGATTAAAAAGAGCATACAAAGATCCTACCTAGCACAAACTTATTTCAAGGGGAGGCAGAAGTTCACTAATGGAAGAAAAAAGGAAAGGAAGGACTTAAAAAACAGCCTTGGGATCTGTAGGGTGAGAGAAATGAGTTGTCCTATAGTGAAACTGTGGTGAAAAAACAGTGTCCGCAAGGTCACCGAAGAGCAGTGCAGGCCTGCAGTGAAGTGCTGAGAGTTCTCCAAGGGCATGAGAACCTCAACCCAGGGTGAACTGAGGTTTTCTACTTACTTCCACTGCTGGGAACTGCCCCCTCCTCGTTGCAATGTTAATACCCCACAAAACATGGAAACAACAACTACCATGTCAAACTAAATTATTAAATTACCTTATTATAAGGCAAGCACAGACAGGAGAAGTTTCTATGGACAACTGACCTGCTGAGACTTGTCCCTGTAGCCATACTTCACTAGGGAGCTGATGGGAGGCTACAAACTGTTGTGACCACCTCTTCCCCATGCAGCTAGTGACGTTTGCTCAGGCATTTCCTCAATGAGACAGAGAGGTTATTGCTCTTCAATGTGCCCAAGAAACCTTTTTTCCTCTTTAACACCACCCCAAGATTCTGTAAATCCCTCTCACATTCATATAAATACATATGAAGAAATCTACTTGCAAGTGCTCATGTTGAAATTCGTCTGCAACTCCTTTGTTTAAAGTTTGCTAGTGTTTTACAAAGGCTGTCTGCAGTAGTGGTAGAATTGCTCAAGTACAGCTCCCAAAACATGAAACAAAAACAACATCAAAACAAGGCCTCTTACTACATCCGCAGGATAATGTCTGTGTGTTTTTCTTCTGCATAAAAAGGAGATTGTTTTTTACATAGTCGTCAATGGGTTTTTCCAGCATGGGATGACTCCTCTAATAAAAATATTCATTACAGCAGAGATGCACTCAGCAAGCTTCTCTGCACAAACAAACGAGATCAACCAACGAGCCTTGTTTGGCTGAAGTGAAAAGCGTCACTACTAAAATACTAAAATCACCATACCACGTACTTTTTTTCCTCAAATGCCTTCTTCCCCTTTAGTATGAATGCATCCAGGAAATTTTATCCCTCTACTGAGTGTTGTGAACGAGTCACATTCATGAGATTCAAGCCGCCTAGCCATGGCAATGTTGCTCGTCCACTAGAGAAGACTAATCACGGGCCATGCTCCCGGCCAAGACTCCCACAACCGCTGAAGTCATCTCATGCTTTATAGAGTGAATTCAGTACCTGACATGTTAGTAAAAGCCAACTTATTTCAGTAAGTTTGTTTACATTTCCAGTAAACCAACAAACATTGGTAAACTTCACCTCAAAATCACAGAGTCAAACACTCTGTGAAAATAGTTACAGCTTGACATTAATCCAACTTAGACAAAATAGTATGTGGAATGATTCTACCGATGTCTGCAATGCTGATAAAAAAGCTACTCAAGCAGTAAACAGAAAACAATTATTAATATTAAACCCTTATCTCAGAATATATTTTTGAAGTTATTTAACAAAAATAAACAACTCTGTACTTAAATAATGTAAAATTACAACAGCTCTTCACTTCTGAAACCTGTAGAATAACCTGTAACAAATAAAGTTTTTCATTGGACTGTGAGCCTGGTTATAGACCTGTAAATAAGAGACTAGTGACAAAGTCTATGATATTGCCAGCATCCCAAGGGGAGATCTGCTGAGCTAGACTCAATTTTATCATTGAAACCTGTACCACAGTAACTCGGAGACAAAAAAAAAAGTAAATTACCATGGTTCTTCAGAAACGAGGATACTGTGGTTGCTAAGTGAAAAGCAAATATATAATTAACAATTTGTACAAAATACAGGCTGACAAACACAAGGTATTTTCAGAGTAAGCATATCAGAGATTTTGATTTTACCCTTCTGAAAATACAACAAGTATTGCTACAGAAAGAAAGGAAACTAAAGTTCAACAAAACTCTACAAGTAGAACAAACATTTACTTTCAGAAAAAAAATTAACATCATTCTAAAGCAGTTGTGGCTGTCCAATTCTGTGACCCTGGAAAGAAAACTGCTTCCTTCCCACATACGAAGCAACTGAGAATTAACCAATACTTCTCTCTCTTACCTGAACTTAAAATAGAGTTTTCATGTCTCCATTGACTCGCTTTAATAGTCAGAAGAGCAAGGGGAGCTGGGAGGAGTTTGATTAGCCAAGCGGTTAATGTTCTCAACAAAGCTTTATTACAAAAATTTATTTGTTTCCCAAATGTAAGTGGTAGAAAGAATAAATGAATTATAATACACGGGTACAAAACCAACTTCTTTTTTTAACTAAGAACAACCAAAATACATCACTCTGCTTCTCAGAACAAGCCATTCTAATGCAAAGCTGATCAAATTAATGTACTTCCTAACAGCTCATGGAGACAAAGCAAGTTAACGCTCTGGCCTCTTTTGAATATCAGCTTATCTGGGGCCTAGGAAGAAAGCAGAAGTAGTTAATAATTAGATGTGGCCTTTACTAATAAAATTATATTAATCTTCCAATGTTAGATTTTGAGATAAAGGCATAGCTTCATGGTGGTAGAAGGACGGGAAGGTACCAAAAATAGCTGAATATTTCTTTAACTATGATCTAGAAGCTTCTTGTTTTGTTTTATGTAATAACCACATAGCATGAAATTTTGACAATCATCTGGCATGTTTTTGAACTTGTTTTTACTTCACTCATTTTCTAAGTCCAAATGGCTGACAGTGTCTAAAAGCAACATCAAATGAAGTGCAGCTATGAGTGTAGTAGGAATAGGAGATACGATCCTTGAAGTCCAAACCTGAAGAACCTTCTTTTTTTAAATACAGGTTAGAAAAAACTACTATCATACTGCGTTAATGGAATTTTTATTCACTGCACAGCTCTTCTATTTGATGTGGAAGCAGACAAACATATCCCTTAAAAAAACCATAAAACCCAAACAAACACAGTACTTCTCTACTGCTTTAGAACTGATGAATATGCTCCCATTTCTCCCAGACTTAAAAAACAAAAAACAAACTACCAGCAGGAACCCTTAGAAGAGTGCTTTATCAGGAAAGGCCAGCCTGACCACTTGCTATTTCAGTTCTTCCAGCAATGCCTTATTTGTGTGCAATGAATAATCAGAGGCTAGATATCATTACAGCAGGGCACAGTGAATAAATACTACCCACAGGCTGGGGAGGAACAGCAGCCCACAGGCCCAATTGATCTCTGCATCTGTTTAAATTACATGTTCTTAAAAGCTTAACACTTTGTCCAGATTCTGTATATCAACCTTACTGCTAGAAAAGTTCCAAGCAACAACAAAAAGCATCACTATAAAAAAAAATAGCTGTAACACAGGCTTCAAAGAGCAAAGAGCTTCCACACTCCTCTCTATTTCAAGAGAGACGATTAGTTAAGGTGCTTCCAGACTCTGCACTGCAGACAGGCTGGCAGAGGTGGCCATCTAACAAGCTCTTAACAGTCTTTAGCGGGTATCAGAGGGCAGTTCCCAAGGCAGAACCCCTCTACTGCTAGTTTCTGTTGCGGGGCATCTGTGGAGCAGGGGCTCCCTCTAAGGGGACCGCGGAGGACACTGTCATGAGCTGTCCGGCGTGCATTCTCTCATTCACCCGCAGTTCACAGCCATCCTGCAGCATCCTTACAGCTATCCTTGCAATGTTTTTAGAGTCATCAAGTCCACTGTGAGGTCTCCCATCATAATTCATGCCCAGCTTCTCAAGCATGATCGTCAGCTTGGTCTGGTTCCTAGGAACCTGATGGAGAAAGTGAACCACATTCAAGAATCAGGTTCTGTATGAAGTCTTTTTAATCTAACACAGTGCAGCAGAAACATATGCAGATTTTAAGCCTACTTAAGTTGCATACTACTTTCATGTTGCCTTTTGTCAGATCGCTAACGATTTAACTTCAAAGCACCTTGCTGAGACAGACACTCTCATTTTTGCAGAGGAGACACAGTCAACAGCAGCTTGTCTAGACTCAGAATAATCTCAAGAGCCTCCCACCGTTACCAGCACCAGCTCAAGATGTGCCAGCACTGGCAACGGTGGAAGCCATGGCCTAGATAGGTTTAACAAGCCTTATAAAAAAGGAATTACCACCCAAAGTGGCATTGCAGAGGGAATCAGATTTTGGTTTTCCTTTTAAATGCTAAGTGATTAAAGAAGGACCAGGCTCCTGATCCTCACTGACAAGAAGCTCCTGAATGCCTCCAACCACCCCAAGAACAGATCAGCAACATCTAGAGCAGCCCGTGTTTACATGGGTGACCAACAGCAGCAGCAGACAAGGAAGCTTAACTGACTTACCCATGCAAAGTACACCACCAGTGAAAGCCTCAAGTCCTCTCTTGCTTAACTACTAAATATACATCTGTGCTTTGGAAAGGTCAAAGAAAAACAAAACGGTAACTTTAAAGTAAAGCTTTAGTTTGCTTTCTTGGTGTTGGTGGCTGGGATGGGGGAACACGGGACATGACATACTACTGGGTTAAACAGCTAGGCAGAATGGTGACAACACAGCTGCCAAAACCTGGCAATACGCAACTCCAGTAGTAACAGCCACAAACTGGGCAGGGGAGGCAAACTGCAGGTTGTGGGATATTCCACAGAAAAGTTACAATACACTCTTTGTCATTAATTTTATCTATAACTATTACTTAACAACAGATTGAACAGCAGCACAGAATAGTTTAACAGAGGCACTGAACTATAAATGCTACAACTGTTTGCATTTATTTAAAAAAAAAAAATCACAAAAAGAAAAAAAGTGATTCCTTTTAAGTTGCAATCTGCATTGCCTTTGATGAAAAATCACTCACTGCTCAACAGAGAAGGAAAAAGAAGTTATGTCTAGGTTAAAGCTGACAGGACTAACAAGACTGTTCTGTGCTCTAGTGTGTTTCCAGCAGAAATGGTCATGCAGAAAAGGCACAATAATACAGGGAGAAATTAAGTAATCCTGTAGTATTTACCCAGCACAAAATAAAGCTCTTCTCTTACTAAAAGTTAACCTCTTTTTTCTAGCGGTTACATTTAGTATGAAAAAGCCCTTCAAGAGAAGGCTGTCAGCTAGGCTGAAATCATATTCAAACAAATAGTTTAGTGCAGACTGACTAGGAATTTGCTAGAATCTCCAATAACCCATTTTATGGCAAGCAGCAATAAAGTCCAGCGCTGAACCTGGCATTGCTTTTCTTTTGATAATTTAATCCAACTGTAGCTATGTCGTAATCTTTCTTTGTTCTCATTCCACTGTCAAAAGTGGAGATACCTCCGGGTAGCGGTGCAAATTAGTTTTGTAGTGTATGACATGAAAACGGGAAGAAAGAATTGAAAAATCAATACAGAATCTTTTTATCTGAACTACTTCAACACATTCTTGATCTAAGAGCACTGTTATGACATTTTTAGACAACCCTTCAGGGAGCATCTGAGCATCTCCTGATTCTTAAAAACAACAAAATGCAGATTATATGATAGTAGATTACAGAGACCTTCAATTAGTAAAGTGAGATCTAGGCATGATGCACATTTGAAAATCAGGCCCCAGGCAACTAGTTTAAGAACTATAACTTCATACTACGCAAGTAAAGATGGCAAGCACAACAGGACATTCTAGACTTCTAAACCAAATTTTCCAGCAAGAGAAACAACAACTGTACAAACCTTATAGAAGTTCCCATACGATTTGCGAATATTGATCCACTTTTTGGCAAAAGAAGGGTATTTGATACGGCTAATACGGCACTGAATGTTCAAAAATTTACTCATATCCCAAGATCTTAAAAAGTCAAAAGAGAAAAGATAAAAACATTAGTAACACATAATTCACATGCCCTGCTTCTACATATTGCACAGCAGTAGCACAAAAAGCTGTCTTTTCTTTGGTGGTCAGTAGAAGGAAAACAGTTTAGGAAAAGCTCTTTTGCTGTGGTCACAGTAAAGAATTTTTCAAGATGAATTTGCTCATCATGGGGAAAAAAATAATAACACAAGCAAGATTTTCATGAGGATGGTTTCAGGTCCAGGATGGTTAACCCAAAAAACAGTATGCCAGCTTCTCCACCTACCATATCTACTTCAGAAACTGCCAATAAACCAGATGCTTACACAGTCCTCGGGGAAGCAAGCAACACCTTAAGTTTTCTTGATCACTTGAGTATGCATGCATCTCTCTACTTAACGTAGGTTATTGAAACAAGATGGCACTTAGTTTTAGGAGAACCAGACCTTTATGGAAATAAGATGAAACCATAACTCTCTGCAATTCTAGCCTGCCTTCCTGAAGGGAACCACCCCAACAAGTCTGTAAGCTTCAAGCCAAAATACAGCCTTTTTTACCCCCCTTTCTTGCAGCTGTCTACACAACCTCAACTATATGACGGGGATTTAACTGCACCTATTTTCCTTGAGGAATTTCACTGAGGGAATTCCCCTGGAGGGGAATTCCAGACGCATTCTAAGCTGAGTAATGTTAAGTCTTGCACTAGTTTTGCTTTAGCATCTTCTTTTCTTAATTCGCTGTTGCTGCCAAAGATAGAAACCTAGTCATAGGTAAAATATTAGTCAAATAGAAGTATTTACCAAAGTTCCTTAAATGAATTAAAGTTGGAATGACATTATTTTAACTCCTTATTTTTAAAGTGTAAACAGACTCAAACCATACATCTCAAGTCTCGTGTCACAGCTTTTAAGAGGCTTCACTGTTCATACAGGACACAACCACGTTTCAATGATATGGGTTCTTCACCAGAAAAGACCTGTGATTTTTGTCCAAATCTTCAGGAATTTTGAGAAAAAAAGTCTCACGGCCAAAAAAATTTTCCCACTTTCTAAGCTGGGTTAGCTAAAAAGCTTTTGTTATGTATCCATCCATCTCCTATGACACATTATTTTTCAAACCACTCATATTATAGACTAGAATATCCGTGTTTTACTTGACAGAAGTGTTAGGGAGTCATACTAAGATCCCCCATACTCTTTTTTCGTAAACTCCCGTTTTGTTTCGGGGTTCATCCCTCTGGTTCGACATAGTCATTGTAACAGAGCAGCACAGGATTGCCTTTTTAATCCAGCACTGCAGAAGATGTACTCCAGGCAAACTCCAGGCTTAGCAACATGAAAATGCATCACTCACCTCACATGGCTAATGTTAAGAACTCTGTGTCTTACTTAAATCCCTCATTCCAAGAGAAGGAGGAAAGCAGACACATTAACAGAATAGTAATGTTTCATTGTTAAAAAGCAAGCATCACCTACAGAAAAATTTCCTGGCCAGAGCTACTTAGATAAGGGTCAAACGGTATCTTGCATCATATAACAAAGCTAAGATCACAAGAACAATATTGCACCACAGACACATCTAGATCTTTGGATCTATTCACTTTGCAGTCATTAGGGGACTGGTGGTAAGTCCAGGTGGCAGTTCAAGGACGAGTCATTCCCTCACACACAAAGCTTGTCAGAGCTGGGACCCACCAGAGCCACAGTCCTCTAAGCCAAAGCAGAGAGCTTTCTGTGCTAGCCGTTTCTCCTTGTTGAACAGACAGCATAATCCATTATTGCTTTCTGGAAAAATACGCAAGAGGTATTAACAGTAACACTAACACACATAAGATGCAACACAACCACCACACATCTCTGAAACCTCGGATTCATGAGAGCAGGGGGATTGCTTAGAACTGAAACTGCATAACACTGTTTTCAGGTATTACGTTCTATATGAAAACCAGAAGTAAACAGAGAATTATAACAACAAAAAAGGATAAAAAGTCTACTCAACATCATTTAGTTGCATACAGAAAGCTAGGAAAGAAACAGTGCCATCTAATGGACTTCAGCTTCATTTCAAATTGTTTAGTTCAGCTTTTCTGATTTTCCCAAAAGCTAAAATTGTAATAAAACAGCAAAATGACAGTGTCATGATCCACCTTTAACCACCCTCTCACCAAGATTAAACACTGTTCTGCAGTTATAGGTTGTGCTGAAGGCTGCAGAAGGACATACCCATCTGTCAACATGGAATAGCTATACTTCGTTCCCAGTTCTCGCTGTCTCATCCACTCAATGACATTCTGCAGAACTTGAGGAAATGTATCAGCTTTATCGACAATGTCCTAAGAGAAACAAAAACACAAAAGTGAGGAACACTTTTTCAGGAAAAAACCCATCATGAAGTGTAAGACTTACGCTGGTACATAGGCACTCATTAAAGCACTCACTAAATCGGCTTCACAAAAATCATTAAAATAAGCAGACAATTGGACAGATTTTTCTAAACTGAAAAAAAAGCACCACAAAAGCACCACTGAAAGAGCCAACCTCCAAATGGCATCTATAAAAGGTAACAAGGTTAGTCAGCTGTTGAACTCGGATTAAAACCTTTGAGCTTGTTTCCCAGGCTCCTGCTCAAGTCACTTGATCACAAGCCATTGCTATCGTAAGACTCTAAATTCCTTAGAATAAAAATCTTAGAAGAGGAACTGATGCAATTCAAAAGGCGCTTTCCTCTCCTAAAAATAAAGTTTCTACACATGGATTACAAAGTGAATGATTTTCCCTACAGCCCCTTACAAACACCTAAATGAACAACTTAGTGAAATCAATCCTGCTATAATTGGGACACACACACACAACCCCCGCCACACACCAAGGATTAAGAGAATAAGCCCTACAGAAAAATTAACATGAAAGATTACCAGTCTGAACACATCAATACCACATCTCATTTTTTCCTGAAGAAACAAAAGTGCAAATTACCTGGGTGATTCCTGTCAGACTGACGCAGAATTTTGAAAGCTTGGGATTAATCTCTGGCTTCACATACTGCTGAAAGGTATCCTCCTGCAGTAAGAGAATCAAACACTCAACAGCAGCACACTAGCAGCCCGGAAGGCAACTTCTTTGGCTTGCCCACAGCCAAAAGACAACAGCAGCTACTTGCCCTGATGGAGGCAAAAAGGAGCGTGTACCTCCCAAGCCAACGTGATCCCTCTGACTGGCCATCATGAGATTCCCAATGGGACGGATGGATGGCTTTCCAACTGGAACATACTTTTCCTCTCAGCCAGCAGGCACCAAAGCACAGGGATGTGGATGTAAGAGGGGAGAAGGACAAACTTCAATAAAGGGGAGGACTTGGGAAAAGGAGAGCACGAGTGAGAAAAAAAAGAAATGAGAGGCATGAGGAAAGCCTGATGTTTTTTAAGTGGTATCTCTAAAGGCTCACCTGTAATTCAAGGAAGGCAACCAGCTGCACACCTCAGAGGCTGCAGGCAATTCACACACCTCTGGATGCCAGCCAGCCAGAGACAAACATAATGACCTCACTCTGGGAAACTGAGCAGTACAAGAGTGAAGACTACACGTGAGTTCCATGAAAGAAAGCAAGCTCCAAATTCCTGCTGATATAGAAAACCCCTGTTTCCTACTACTCTAAAGGCAATAAAACAATCTCGGTAATCTGCACAATCCTCTTTCTGCAGCAAGTCATACATGCAGCTGCACTCTAGCATCACAGTGATTACTGGAAATCCTCCTCCTCTTAAAAGTTCTTGAAAAATGAACTATTAGTCAGAGAAGCGTGCGCTTCCTCCGTTTCACCGAGTCACTTACTTTCAGTTTGACAGCAAGTAGTTTTTCCAAAAGCAAGCCATATTGGAACAGAGCACCTGAAGCTGCCAAATGCCTATTAAATGTTTAAAATCAGGATACATAGCTGTCAATCTGTCAGATACATCGTGGAAATAGTCTAGCCTGCCCAGAAGTAGAGCTCTCTCAATCCCACTTTATAGACCTCTGCATTAGACTCTTCTAGATTGCCTCACACAGGACCACAGAATTTGCTAGTTCTTGTTCATGATGAATCCTTTGAGTCCTAGAAATAGCCCCGTGGAATCTTAAAGCAGGGAATGAAGGGGCAGGGAGGGAGGACGTCTGAGAAACTGTATCAGTAGAGTGAGTCAACTGCAGGAGCATCATCTATTCCAGATGCTTTAAGAACAGAAAGTTTTGTTTGTATGCAAAAGGCACAGAGGATAGGTCTTTATGGAAAGAAAAAAAAAGCAAGCTGTTTTTAATGAAGTTCAACATCTACTTGAAAACTGATCTAGATTTTCTGAAGCAAAGAAGTTACATTACAGAACAGCATACCGACACACTAATTAGATCACTTACTATTTCCAGGGTATGCGTGTTTAGTAAGACAACAGGAAACTCAATTATTTCATGTACGAATTCAGGTGGGTTTCCTTCTTCACATGTTGCTTCAAAGTCAACAACACAGATGTAGTCATAGTAGCTGTCTCCATTAACGGGTTCCTTCTGCATAAGCTTCTGTTTCTTATAATAGTTTTTCAGCCTCTTTTTCAGCACATCTTTCACTCCTCTTAAAGAGATAAGGAAAGTGTCAAAGATCACACTCTCATTTAATTAATTATGTCACCATTGTAGAACTGAAACTATACTTAACATTTTAAAGTTCACAATTTATTAACCTCATTTTGAACACCAGCATTTATGAAGTCTGAATTCAACTTTATCATACAGTTAACGCTCCACTAGCTGGACTAATGCAGATACCACCCAAAACCAAACACATCTAGATAGTATCAGTATTTGGGGACAGACTGGGAAGCACGGCGCAGAGATACTCCACAGTCATCTCCAGTTCAGCAAGACTGAGTATCTGAAGACTTTGCAAAGCCCAAGTCTTTGCAGATTGCTCCTAGATGACCTCTGGCCCTGAAAGCAGTACTGCCTCACCCGTGTTTCCCTGTGCCCTCTGTCTGAATCAACCCCAGGCATTTCTGCATCAGTGGCACACATAATGCAGAATCCAGCTAAAACGCCCACATTTTAAATTTGTCTCAATTTAAATTTAAAACTGAGCTTGAATAACTTGATTAAGAAAGTACTCAAGATTTCAGTTGTCAGAAAAACTTCCTTGTCAAGATCCTGCTTTTCAGGAGGTTTGTGGCTAACACATAAATTTACAGTGGCAAATGATTAGAGTTACCTTCTGTGTCTTTTTAATGCAAACATTATAATAGGCAAGCGCAGGTGCCAGAACTGCTACACACCAAACCAGAGCTGAATAAACAAGGATAATTTACTCTTGGAAGGAAGTTGTTTTTAAAATTACACACTGCAAATGAAATCACAGAAGCTGTAAGAGCTACTTGTAATAAGTGGTATTATCAGAAAAGCAGCCCGCTGACCCACAAGGAAAAACTGGAATCAAGACTCTAAACCTGCATTTGAGAACATCAGCCTCTTCTGCAGAGACAACTTTTTTCCACTCTGGTTTATTAATCTAGTTTAATTCAACGACCAGTTCATTCAAAGTTGAAACAGTATGTTTGAGCTGATAGAGGGAAAAATGACCTTTTTCTTCATCAAACCTATAGAAGAAGTTGAAAGAGGAGATGATCTGCTGTCAAAATAACCCCAAGGGAAAGGATGGTGTGTGGCAATCTGCTCAACTCGCTACGTTAGAGGTGACGCAGCATTTGTTTACATGCAAGACACATTCTGACCAACTTAATTGAATATATTGATAAAAGAAGTCTAGCCTAGCTGAAATAAAAGTTTAAGACTTTCTGCATTTACAACTGAATAAAAAAAGCAAACAGAAAATTAACAACCTAGGAGCAAACCACGAACACGTAATTTACTATTTGAATTCTGCTTTTTCTTTTAAAACCAGAGTAACTGCTGAATAGCTGTACAAATCTAACTTGTTTTACTAAAAATTTTATCAGGTAATGATAATCTTTTTTCCTCCTGAGGAGTCAAATTCATTTAACCAGAGGAGGAATTAAAAAAAAAACACTGTCTGCAGACAGACGTAATGGAGGTGGCAGGCTGCACTTCCCACCCACAGCATTTTGCTTCTGTTTTATTCTGTTCAAATGAATCTCTGTTCCTTTCCTTTTTTTTTCTCTGAACATCCTCTCCTCTACAGTTGTTGTCTACCCCTCTAGAAAGCTAGACTTCTCCTTTCAGACCCCATCTCACCTTTTGTATTTCCTCTTCTTCCAGAGCAGTAACTTTGCACTTTGGTAACTCCCCACCACCACCACTACTTTCTCATTACTGCTACCCACAGAAACAATACACTTGGTTTTTCCCAGCTCACCTTCTCAACATCTTGTATCTGTCTGGCCACAACAATATCAAAGGATCTCGCAGGTCACTTCTGACAGAGCAGGAACCACTCTATATTCCTAGCCCTTTCCTCCTCCTCAATGAGCACAAATCCACTTTATAATACATTCACCTATTCCCGTTACTCTCTCATCTATTCAGATCAGCAAACTCTCCATCTAAAGGCACCCGTCCTCTGCATTGATAAAATTAGGAGCCCTACCACCAAAGAGGTTCCAGCCAGTATCTGATTTGTACTGAGTACAGTAAATAATGTTCTGAAGCGAGTTTCTATCTGCTGAAGGTCTGCAACACCACCTGAGAACCCTTGCAGTTCTTCTTTCCCCCTTGAACCAAAATCATGTTGAGAAGTGACCTACAGTCACACACTCTTTCGTTTCCTTGCGTTACCAGTCGAGGCAGGGCACATTCCGGCTAACACAGTAAGCAGTATCGCACGCCCTAATCCTACAGCAAAAGCTGCATCACAACCGTGCATAAAACAACTGGCGCTTGGCATCTTGTCTGCTTCTCACTTTGTGGGGTGTTTCGAAATTTTAAAATCATCATCCCTTGCGGCGCTGCTGCTCCCAAAGATAAATCTAGAGGTTTACAAATCAGCCTAACCTGGTCTCAAGATTGAACTCTGCGAGTTTACTTCTCAGCTCATCTCTGGTCATTCTGTTGATACAGCCATTGGTCATAGCAATTTCTTTGTAAACCGGATCACTGAAGTCATTTGAACTGGCAGTTGAGTTTTTCCCATTAGTTTCTTGATCGCTGATCATACAACGCTGCCGACCCTAGGAAAAAAGGGAAATCCGAAGGTCATTTAAGGTCACAAGAAGAAGCCAGAGCATTAAAATCTACGCATCGCTTTGGCACCAAAATGCAGCAAAGCATTGCGCCCCTTCACTCACGGTCAAACCGAGCGAAGCAGCTTACAGACGGGTAAGGAAGCCAAGACCGACGCCTACCCTGAAACCCCGTTTTCCCTCTCACTTTCCTGAAAGCCAGCAGAGCAAGGGAGTACGAACGCCGGTGTCCGGCCCCGTGCCACACCGCAGCTCGGCCGGGACAAAGCCCGAAGCTCGGGCAGGAAGTGTCACTCCCCGCTACGGGCTGGCCAAACCCCGACCAGCGGCGAGAGGTTTCTCCCAGCACCGCAATTAACCGGACCCTGCGCTGAGGAGACAAGCGGACAGACGTCTCACGTGTTAACTGAACAGAGCCACAGGCTAAGAGGAAAAAC